AAAATAACAAATAATTAGTAATTGATTTTTTTGTATTAATTTCTCGATACCTGATAATCATATTAAATTCTAATTAATTCATAATAGAATCACGTCGGATTTTATAAAAAAAAAAAATCTCTCAATATTTATTTTTTCATTCACAAAATTTAAATTTAATATTTTATTTAAAAAAATTAAATTTATTTCACTCGAAACTAATAAATTACTAGTGATAATTAGTAATTGATACTTGATGAAAAATAATGATTAATTTTATAATTTAAATTATTTAATTTATTTAATTAAATCTTAAATTAAATTAAGAAAGTAATGTGTATTAATTTTAATTTTTTAAAAGTTGGGTCTACCCAACCCAATCCGAGACTCGTATGAATGGGTCATAGGTCAACCTCCTTAACCCAACACCCAAAATGACTCAATCCAAATAACTCGAAATCCAAAATAACCTAATCCGAACCTACTCAATCTGACCTTTTTACCAAGTCTACCTTTAAGCTATGTCATGTTATCCTTAGTCTTTTATTAACCAGACTACTTTGGACTTTATTGTATACTTGTTCGAGAGAAGGGAAGATTTCGAATCCAATGATTCATCACCAACTCTTAAAATGATTGGGTTTATTGGACGGAGTTTTAACCTCCACCAACACCTTAGAAAAAATTCTCTCTTCCCCAAATTGTAGACTATTCAAAAATATATGTATATTATTAATGAGAGAAGTCGTTGGTGGCTCAATGGTCTCCCATATCTTGATAAGAGTATTTTCATACATGTAAGAAATATGGGGTTCGAATCTTACTCTTGTGTTAAAATATATATATTATTAATAAATTTATCTCTTGTAACGCATAAAAATTAATGGTTGTCTTTAAAGTTTTTTTTCTTGAGTGCTTTTTCACAAAATACTTTGTAAAAATATTTATTTTAATCAGTGTTATCAATAGCGGATAGCGGCAAATAGCGGAAAGGCCAAAATCCGCTATGATAGCATAGCGGGTAGCGTA